TTGAGAGTGAACAGTGGCCATTGTTGAAAATATGTCATTTTGTTCACTTATAGCATTTATCTCATTTTTGTGAGTGTCTATTCTGCTAAGAAAGTCTGCAATTTTGTTTTCTTTTCCATTAATGTAATCTATTCTGGCGTCATATTCGCCTAGTTGTATTAACCAACGCTGCAATCGGGGATTTATCACCCGTATGCTGTAATCCGAAAGTTCGTAGTTACGAACTCGTAGCTCCGTTCCGAAAATTCGAAAATTGGTATGCTGTAATCCGATCGTAACTATCAACGGCACTGCCAACCAGGGTTGCCACTTGAAAATATTTTTAAGTACCAAAATGCCTACCAAATCAGTTTCCAAACTACCAAAATTTTGTTCATCATTAAAGCTAGACTTCTTGAATTTACGGGGCTTTTAACTACAAAAATTAAAACTACACATATTATTGTTAACAGGGCCTATAAATAAAAGAATTGACGTATTGTATATAAACTTTTGTAAAAAATTTAAATACCTTTGAGATTAATTCCATTCATATCAAACATCTTTTCTTTGTGTGTGAAAAAACAAAATCACACATTTATGCAAAAAATCCTAAATTCGTTTCACTTTGCAAATTGGCTATCATAATTTTTTCTTTCAAGACTATAGGTAATTTCTGGTTGTTTCAACAGCCAATCGGTCATAGCTTTGTGAAGTAAGTTTTTGTTTGCAGAAAATTGTCTGCTTAATAAAATATAGGAAAAAAACTAAGAAATCTTATACGTGTGAGCAAAGTAAAAGCAATGTTTTGAACGTGTAAACGTAAATTAAGCGAACAAATTTTAATGCTCAATTTGGTTGTTTTTTCATAAAAATTTTGCCTACCAAAAGGTTCATCAAACCAACCAAGCTACCAAAGGAGAATGAACCTACCAATTTTGGTCCAATCGGACCAAAACGGCAACGCTGCTGCCAACTAAAATAGTGAAATTCGAAGTTCTTAATCAGCTGCTTTGACACAAACAAATCGCAAGTGAACAGTGAAATTAAAAAAATTGTTTAATCGTATTTGAAAAGGCTTTTCCTTAATTAAGTAAAATATAATGGATTCAGTGGCCGGTGCACTTTTGTCTCAGGAGAAAGAACGCGCTGCAGCCAACTGTTGCATTAATATACAAAGGAGATTTCTACGAGACAGTTCTGATCTATTTAGCTTAAATGATAAATGTATGCTCCCTCTTTTTAAGGGCGTCCATTGAACTAGATATTGTGCCACTTTAATTCTTGTAACGCTTTCCCAAAATTCCACCACATCCTCTTTAGCTACTTTTACAAAGCCTCGGGCAATGTCCGGCCTTTCGCTCATGCATTCCACCAGTTCTTCGTATTGCGAGCGATTTGTTATGATCTTCGAATAGATAATTTTGTAAACATTTAATAATAATTTTTTTTATTTACACTTCAACTTACATACATATTTTTGCGTTCACACCCTTTATTTTATTGATATTTTAATATAATTTGTTTCGCTCCGACACGAGTTACTATTCGTACAAAATTTCCGACAAATACATAAAAATGACAGCTACGTCGGATTCAGGCATAGCAAAATTACGAATTTCGAAGATGGCCTACGAATTTCGAAACTACGATACGACAACACAGATTTCAGCATACCAATTTTACGATTCGTAGCAAAATCGAATCTACGACGGATTACAGCATAGGCGTTTATATCTTTGCCATTATACTTAGCTTGGAGCCACTTAAGTGGTTGATGATCGCTTTGAAGATCAAATTACCTTCCGAACGATGTTATATAATTCATTTACATTGATCTTGTTTCCTTTTTTTTTTTAAATAAACCATCGGGTAAGCAACTTTAGCGTAATCACGAATAAATTTACGATAATGACCTGTTGCCCCTAAAAATGATTTAATTTGTTTTTCAGTGATCGGCAATTTAAGTTTTTGTATTACTTCCACTTTTTTACTGTTAGGAGTTATACCTTTAGAAGTCAGAGTGTGACCAAGAAATTGAGTTTGCTTGGCCATAAAGTTACATTTATCGACTTGGATCTTTAGACCTGCCTTCAGTAATGTATTAAAGATAACTTTTATACTGTTTAGGTGCTCTTCTAGCGAAGTGCTAAAGATAAGTATATCGTCCAGATATACCACGCAAATTCTATTAATATGTTCTTTCAGAACTGAGTTCATCAGCCTTTGAAAAGTGGCTGGAGCGTTTTTGAGGCCAAACGGCATTCTGACGAATTCAAAATGACCGTGAGTGCTAAATGCTGTTTTCTTACGATCTTCCGGTTTGACCATAATTTGGTGAAAACCTTTAGCAAGATCTATTGTAGTGAAATACTGGGCCCTTCCCAGTTTATCAAGAATTGAATCAATGTTAGGAATAGGAAATTTATCACTTACTTAATGACAATTCGCCATTTTTCTTTGTAGACTTGTCCATCTTTTTTGGTTCAATCCATAGAGGGCTGTTGTAAGGAGACGATGACTCTACAATTATTCCCTGCTCAAGCATATCTTTTATTTGCCGTGATATTTTTCCCTCATGAATTATAGGTACGGTGACCATATTTATGGGAGCTTAATACGTGACAGAAAATAATTTTGCAAATTTTTTTAAACAAAAACTTACAGATCTTAAAGCCTTCTTCAATGATCCTAGATGTATTAGCCCTGAAACAGAATCCTTGTAGTAACATCACAAATTTGAAGGAAATTTTTCTCGAGATTTTTACCCCCCAAGATTTGTTTAAAAAAATCGTTAAATTTTAGTATAATAAAGTGCAAGAGCAAGTCGCTAAGACTTACCGTTAATTTTTCACAATTGTTTTTTGTTGACGCTATTGCGCATTTTTTTCATACAAAGTAAGTATTTCGACCATTTTCTTAAAAGCGATGCAAATGAGCAGCACTGTATTATACTCAATTTTAATGAGGTATAAAACTGCAAACCAAATTTTTTTCTAAAGATTCTAATTAAAGAGTTTGAAATTTTGGTGAAACATTGCAGAATTAATTTTTATAGTTTTTGCTCAAAGTTAGAAATTTGGTATTAAAATAACTCAGCGAGAGGGGAGACCAGTTAGGGTATTCACAGTTTACTTTTAAAGTTAAAACGGGGCAACTTTAACAAGATAACACATTCGAACTGTGAGCAACCCTTCACACATGTGTTTCAAATGGTCAGTAAAACAAATATAGTCAGATAAAAACTTAAAAATATTTCAAATTGCGCCCAACTTATGTTTTTCTGCTTCAATTTCCATTTTCTCTTAGCGCGAATAATCAGCTGATCAGAGATGCCAGTTTAACACAAAACAAACACATGAGACAAAGTCGAGTAATTTTGCCCAAAAGTGTTATCTCTAATTAGTATGGGAACCAACAACAAACAAAGTTACCACATGGTAAAATGTTTTAAAGTTACCAGGTGGCAAAATTAACACAGTAGATAATATCCCCTATTACGGTTGGCGTTGTCGTCACTAAACGACGACGACTTGTTAAAATCGGTATTGGCGTAGTTGATATCGATAACTCTTGACAACTATTGTCACATCTTGGGTATTGGCTAAGCAAAGTTGCTGTCGACGTTGAACTCACACGACGCCATTTCTGTCGACACCGTGTTTACTGACGACTGGATGAAAATTTGTAAGTATAAGTGTTTTTTTTTAAGAAAAAAGGCCGTTAGTACCAGGTACTTATAAAATATGATGTGTAAACATATGTACATATGTATGTACTATGTGAACGACTCGTTAAGCATCAGTGGAATTCATTTGTTAAATATTTCATTTAACTCCTGTCTTCTCTTTTTATTTTTCGTGTTTTTAATTAAATTAAATTAATAAATGTCTATGTGTCTGCATTTATTTAGATTTTAGACATGAAAATTACAAGCGCAGAACAATTTGAAACTCTTATAGCTGAGTTAGAAAAAAGCCCTTGCCTAGCAAAGGGTTTTCAAAAGGGAACAGCTCCAGCTAATTTTAAACAGCAATGGGAGGCAATCAGCAGTAAATTGAATGCCCTTGGGCCCCCTTTAAGAGACAGCGATGGTTGGCAGAAGGTAATTATAATAACACCATTAAAGCATATATTTTGTAATATATGTACATTTCAACTGCAGGTGTGGCGAGATTACAAATTTAAAGTTAAGAAGAAACTTATAAAAAACAAGGCTGAGTGTAATGCAACAGGTGGCGGAATGTATAAACAATTAACCCTCTGCCCATTGGAAGAGGCTGTGGCCAACTTGCTGCAGTTTAACAAGCAGCTAAGTCCAGAAGGTGTTTTGCAAGGTGTTCAGTTACCACCAGCGGAAACACAACACCAAACATCAAGTCCGGTTGAATTTGCTCCACTGGATGGCGCTCAACTTATTGAATGCATTCAGTTGTGCCCACCAGATTTGCCATGCGAAGAGGAAGAACCCACAACTTCAGCGAGCGCCAGGAGCAGAAATCAACCATCCACTCCAGCCAGAACACGAAAACCAAAAACGAGCGAGAGGAACGACCTTTTGGAAAGGCACAATAGTATGCAGGAAAGAATTTTAACTGACGCTACAAATAAAATGGGATCAATGAAGCATTCCTTACGCGATACGGCCGGTTATCAGAAGAAACTTCTCGCAATAGAAGAAAAGAAGCTAAAGCTTTTGGAAAAAAGGGATCGCAGAGAGGTAGAATTGCACAAAGCTGCAATGCAATTAAAAGAAATAAAATTAGAAATTGCCAAAGAAAAGCTTAGGAATTTAAAAAAAAGTTGACTGATTTTCATGTAGATATGTACCTATTTATTTTTTATTTTTAAGTACCTGTGAATTGTTTTTGTTTAGTACGTTAGATATTAGAATTACTATTTATTTGATATTAAAAGACTGAATTCCATTTATTTTATTAAAAAAGAATGAACTGTGAATTGTTTTTGTTTAGTACGTTAGATATTAGAATTACTATTTATTTGATATTTAGAGACTGAATTCCATTTATTTTATAAAAAAAGAATGAACTGAAATTACACAAAACTGTTTTTTATTTGTTCTCTAATTTGCGAAGCTTCAATATTTATGCTATTTTCCACATCATCAGTATTGTCAACATTGTCTTCGTTTAGTTCTGTAATGTCTGCATCCTCGTTTTTGATGTGTGAACCAAACTCGATGCAAATGTTGTTGAGTGCTGCACATACATTAGCGATTTGCGTGGCCTTAGATGGCGTATAGTGAAGTTGACGTGCACCGAGCAAACAGCGAAATCGGTTTTTTAACACTCCAATAGTGCGTTCAACTATGTTTCTAGCTTTGGCATGTTTGTTGTTGTAAATAGCTTCTGGACTTCCTTCTGCTGCGGATCGATATGGCGTCATAATGTATGGTTCAAGAGGATAACCCGCATCACCTACATAAACATTTTTATATATTTTATAGGGTTTAAATTTGCGGGGTTAATTCTTACCTAAGAGCCAGCATCTACGCTCCCCAGCATCGTATCGCTCCTTCAGAATTGTTCTCGCTTGGCTAATATTCCAAATTAGAGAGTCANATATAATAATAATCACACAGATCTAAAGAACGTAACCTTTTAAATAAAAATTGTAAACAACATGAAACAGCTGATGCAAAAATGACAAAGATGGTATTTCCTACATTAATTTATCGATAAATCGACGACGTCGTCTCAACACGTTTAGCCAGTACCGATTCTGCGTCGATGTGATGTCGACGTCGACACGAAGTGATGTCGACTGAAAAACGACGACGATACCCTCGACAAAAAAAAATCTAAAAAATCAGCGGTAATTTTTAGCTACTTGAAACTTGCATTTTATTATACTAAAATTGAACAGGCTACAAAACTGTATACTGAAAGTTTTTCTAAAAATTCTGAATAAAAAGTTTGAAATTTTTATGAAAATTTTATTAAGTTTGATTCGGGTTTATGAATTTTGTACAAAGTTTGCAAGAATGATTTATATGGATTTTGGTATAGAATGAGCTATATTTTAAATGAAAATTAGCGAGAATGATTTATGATGGGAAACATTTTGAATATTGTGAAAAAACTCATTTACGAATACTTCTGTGAGTGACTGTGTATTTATATAAAGAAATAATATTTATTGGTGCAAAAATGGTGGGTGGTAAAATTCTTTTACCACCTCTGCAAGATTGTAAGTCCGCAAATGGTTCGGAAGCATTGTCCGGAGGATGCATCAGACTAGGCCGAGCTTCGGTTATTTATTTAAGTAAAAATGAGGTAGGCACTATGGCCAGTGATAAAGTTCATTTACCATCTCTGCATGGTTGTAAGTGCATGTGCAAAAATTTCATTAATTTAACGAACGAAATTTTTGCACATGGATCAATACATAGCATGAATTTAGGCGCGTTCCCACCTCAGTCGGGTTTACATAACCGAAACGGCCCAGATTTATGTCTGGCCCAGGACTGCCCCTCCAGCAACACTAGCCAAAAACTTTTTGGGGCATTTGTATGCTGTTACAACAACAACAACATGGATTTAGGCGCCTGGTGTTAGCAGTCGCACCTAAACGGTATTATATGGTTTTTCTTAGGAAAAGGGCTTTACTTTCATAAAAAATAATAGATATTAAATAAACTAAGGAAAAATAGCCAAACCATGCTAATTTATATTTTGGTCACTGTTTGTATTCCTCCAATCGAAACACAGGCGTCCAGATTAGAAAATAATAACTGTTTATGGAGAAAATTTCGATAATATACCAACATCACTTAAAACTAGTTCATAGGCATGTCATTTTAATGAGCTCTTAAGGGTCGAAACACCGAATACGGGACAAATACAGGACATTAAAAGAAATACAGAACATTTGGCGTCCCGTATAAAATAAATAAATTGACAGGACAATGGGTCAAAAAAGAGAACTGTCCCGTAAAATACAGGACGGATGGTCACCGTAATTATAGGGTACCTGTAATATTGTATATATTGGATTGTTTGTTGTTGTAACTATTTGGTCCTGTACATTGTGAGCAAATGTAAGCTTATCACCTTCTTTATAGAATTACGATCATATACCAACATCACTTAAAACTAGTTCATAGGCATGTCATTTTAATGAGCTCTTAAGGCGTCGAAACACCGAATACGGCACAAATACAGGACATTAAAAGAAATACAGAACATTTGGCGTCCCGTATAAAATAAATAAATTGACAGGACAATGGGTCAAAAAAGAGGACTGTCCCGTAAAATACAGGACGGATGGTCACCGTAATTATGGGGTACCTGTAATATTGAATATATTAGATTGTTTGTTGTTGTAACTATTTGGTGCTGTACATTGTGAGCAAATGTAAGCTTATCACCTTCTTTATAGAATAGTTCAAACATTGTTATTAACTTTTTTATTGCTGCCTTTTCTTCATGATTTAAATGTGAAAAGTCTAAACTTTCAATAGCTGACTTTTCTGTTTGTGACAAATAACAAATATTTACATCGAAAGGGTATTTTTCGAAAAAAAAAATTTCCTTTTTCCTATTTCCATATATTCGCCATCATTGTTCATAGTCGCCTTGAAGGCTTTCAAAATGTTCCTGCCAATGATTGCATTGTAATTTTAGTTTTTTAAATTGACGACTTTCGAAGATATAGTTCCGTAGGATGGAAACTCTTTGGGAAATGGTGTAATTATTTTATCTGTAATTCTATCTCTTCCATTTATTGTTGAATAGTAGATTAGGGTTTCGAGATTTTCCAATACAAAATTATTAAGAGTATTTGGGCCTATTACACTTATCGTGGCCCCCGAGTCTATAAGACATCTAACTTTTTGGTTATCTATAGTTAATGTAACTATCGGTAGTCTTGATTCCGAGGCTCTTCGTGAAAATTTATGCTTTCGTTTGTTTCGTCATGTCTTGATTGATCATTTCCATTTGTTCTGTCGGGTCAACAGTCATATATGACATTGTCGATTGAGTGGAATTACTTGAATTGAATTACTTTGTTATAATTGTTGTCAGATCTGCAATTATTTCTGTTTGACTTGTTTGTCAAGTTTTTGGTTGTTATAATTATAGTACTTATTTTTTGACTTATTATTCAAATTGTACTGAGGCTTGTTCGTGGTCTTTCGATGGCCAAAGGAAATCGTATTATTATCGTCCAAAAGTTTGAATTTCGTATATTTTTCTTTAATTTGGTCAAGTGTAATCGTTGCAGTCATAAGTGCTCTAGTGGACGGATGTATTTTATCCAAAAGTAGGTCGATTAGATCACGTTCTATATTTTGCGGTTCATACATATTTTTCTTTTCATCGTAAAAAAATTGTTATTCTTGTATATCGTACTTGGCTTTAATAAATACATTTAAAAGTTCTCTTAAATTATTCACTCTGATATGCCTGCACTTATTATATATTTATCCATAAATAGTTTTCGGGCGGAGGGCTCCTTTAATTTCCTTTTTATTTCTTCCCACGTTTTATTGTCCTTCAATTCACGAATATAATTAGCCGTATCTCCGCATATTTTCTTTTGGGTTATAATTTGAAGTCCAAACTCCTGTATTCTTGGGTCATCTTGACATAATTTCATTGTTCTTTCTACCGATTTAACAAATTGTATTAAATGGCTTATTCTCTCTAAAGGTTTTAAATGGCGGAATTCTCGGAAGTTTATCTCTATTATTTAGAGACAAATTTTGCTGTTGTACTAGCTCCTGCATCACAGCGGTTGTAGCCCTTGATTTTGCACTTGACTTGCACTTTAGCTCTTATAGCGTTTTCGAGCTCTTGCAATTTTTGATGTTGCTGTTCAATTATAGCCTCTTGTCGGCTGATCACTAACTGAAGTTGCTCAACTTGTTCGTTATCCATCTTTCTGTTTAAGTCGAATTTATGTAGCATTTATTTGAGCTCAAATTATTTTTCACTTTTATTTCCTTTTACACTTTTTGTTTGTTTTTTAATAGCACAATAATTTTCGTTGTGGTCATTTGAACCACAATAATTGCAGAATTTGAGTTCTTTATAGCCTTTACTTTAAGCCATAAAATTTTTAAATCCGAACATATAAACTAATATCAAAGTAATGTGCAATATTTTCACTAAATATTTCGGTTCTCTCTGTAGACTGCCCAGTAAAAGGATTAGAATTAACTATTTTTTAAAATGTCAATTAAATCCTTTAACTTGTTCAGCTTTATTCTGAACTTAATTAAATAAAACTCAAAATTTCCGTATTCCGGATTTGTATATGTTTTATTTGAGTTGAATCTTAAGACTAAATTACATTTTTGACTTTAACACAGAAGTAAGCTCTTTTCATCTTTCTATTTCATTGAAGTCAGCAATTCTTCCTATTCAATTAGAATCAGCAATGTTTATGTGCTTTTAAAATTCCATTAGCATCGGCGATGTTTATTTCATTTGAGTCTTCCATTAGGATTGGCAACACTTTCAATTAGCTATTGTTTATGCTTAAAGCAAAGCTTTGTCATTTCATTGGTATTGCATTCATAAATGAAATACTAATGTTTATTCTAGATTTCAATTTAAAATTCAATTTCAATTACTGATCTTACTTCTGGCTCACATATTTGTTTACAATATTATTTATTATACAATGGGGAGGATGTGGTTGAAGTGAATACGTAACTCGCGTGGTTTCTCAGAGCGTATGCGTACTCTAACCATACACTTATACTACTGCTGTATGCATATGGCTGTGTTAATATTTCAAACATACAAAAATACATTAATGGAACAGTATCAAAGCATTCTCACAAGATACGTAGGTATCCCCATATGTAAATGCTACTTTTCTGATACATACATTTTAATATACGGTGGCATACAAAAAAGTAGCATTTACATTTGCAAATGCATATCTTGTAAAAGCACGCTAGTGCTGAAAATATTATCGCACAACACGTCCGTTCACTAAAACTTTTATACAAGACTGAAAATATTACAAAAGTTCCACTTCAAATTTATCAAAAAGTGTACTTAAAACAACAACAACGTACGTTCGATTTCAATTCGCTAGAATATGAATTTATTTGTGGAAATTCATGACTTCGCATGAACTGTTCACACCAATTCACTCATACAGCATGCATACTTCATGAATGCATACAACCGATTTCTACTGGGTATGTAAGTTAACTACATACAAATGTATGTNGTATATGTTTTATTTGAGTTGAATCTTAAGACTAAATTACATTTTTGACTTTAACACAGAAGTAAGCTCTTTTCATCTTTCTATTTCATTGAAGTCAGCAATTCTTCCTATTCAATTAGAATCAGCAATGTTTATGTGCTTTTAAAATTCCATTAGCATCGGCGATGTTTATTTCATTTGAGTCTTCCATTAGGATTGCCAACACTTTCAATTAGCTATTGTTTATGCTTAAAGCAAAGCTTTGTCATTGCATTCATAAATGAAATACTAATGTTTATTCTAGATTTCAATTTAAANGCAACACTTTCAATTAGCTATTGTTTATGCTTAAAGCAAAGCTTTGTCATTTCATTGGTATTGCAT